ACACGCATAACACAACAACATTATCAACAACAACGACATCTACAACGAAAATGTATATTTTAACCTTTCCTCCTTATGTCGTATCGTCGGGCTGAGAATGAATGAATGAATGAATGAATGAATGAATGAATGAACGAACGGATGAATGAATAAATAGATGAATGAATAAATGAATGAATCAACGGATGAATGAATGAATGATAGAAAGACAAAAGAAAAACAAACAAAAAAATCAAACGCCTTTCAGAAAAGACTGACATTATTATGCACAATATTTGAAAGAGCAAACGATAGATTGAAAGAAAAAGAAAGAGAAAGAAAGATGTTAAAGAATAAAAGAAGAGAGAAAGAGAAAAAGGAGAGAGAAAGAGAGAAAGAGAGAGAGAGGAGAGCAATGTATGTCATAAACCATGCGTTAATTTAGTGACTCTACGTTCTCTTTATATTGCTTTTCCCGTGTTGTTGTCCTCTGTAACATTAAAGTTATTTTTAATGTTGTTGTTGTTGTTGTTGTTGATGACTTTGTTGTTGTTGATGTTGTTGACGTTGTTGTTGTTGTCGTTCGTGTTGTTTTTTAAGTAGTTTTTTGATGTTGTTTTAATTGTTGTTTTCATTCTGTTGATTTATAATTGCTAATTGTAAGACTTTCAGGCTGAATTTCTTTATCTCATTTCCTAATATTTTTGTATTTGTTCGTTCTTCATTTGAAAGGAAGAGAGAGAAAGAATAAGAGAGAGAGAGAGAGAGAGAGAGAGAGAGAGAGAGAGAACAAACAGAAAAAAAGGAAAATTGTTTTGAAAAAAACTCCTAAGAATAAAATAACGCGACATCCGTGTAACGAGAAACTATGAGAATGAGGATGATAAAAAAAGAGAAACAGATAGAAAGAAAGAAGGAGAGAGAGGGAGAGAAAGAGAGAGAGGGAGAGAGAGAGAGGGCGGAGAGAGACAGCGTGAGAGAGCAATTATGAACGAAAAGTAAGACAAAAATAGAAAAAGAGAGAGAGAGAGAGAGAGAGAGAGAGAAGGAGCATGCAATAACGTTGGAAAGTGTTAAAAAAAGAAAAAATGCGAGAAGATAAAAATGAACTGGAAGAAAGGCAGAGTAAGGCAGATGAACAAGAATGGAGAATAAGATGAATAATAAAAAATAATAACAAGAATAAATAAATGAATATTTAAAAAAAATAAACAATCAAAAAGTGGGAAAAACACAGAAAAAATATGAAGATGTTATAAAGAACAGAATGAATGAGACGCAAGGGCTTACAGTCGCCATGGTAACGTAAGGAAACCGGAAGAGGAAAAAGAAGAAAACGGGAAACAGAAAAACAGGGATGTCCTGTTAACATACCAGTCAAGATCCATCGCTCCCATGACGACTGAAGAGAAGAGAGAAGATGAAGCACTTCATTCGAAATGAATGGCGTTTCTTTGATGTTTGTTAATTTTAAGGTGGATGGGACATAGGTAGATTGTGTTGGGATCTTTGGATTTCTAATTAGTTAGCTGGTTAATTAGTATCACTGCTTGTCTTTGCTTTCCTATGCTTTTTAAACAATATTTTGAACAGTCTAGACACATACATACATGCATGCAAACATGCATACATACATACTTAAATACAGACATTCATGCACATATTTAAATGCATTCATACAGACATACTAGCAAACATACATACATTCACACATACATACATATATACATTGATTGATTTAATATGATATAACATGAGCATATAATACTATATTCAAAATATAATTTGTGAGCTCAGTTTTTCATTTAATTTATATGCAAATCACTTTTAATCAAAATTTAAAAGTTAACTTCGTCATATTTGGCTCGCAGTTTTGAAATTTATCTTGTCAAAGTTTGTCTTTTAAAACTAAATTTTTTAAATTAATTTTTTTAATTAAATTTGATTTTGTATTTAACTATGCTTTTATTGTCAATAAACTGCAAATTAAAGATTTAATTCAGTTAATTTTGGTTAGATTTGGGTTTGGGATTTTATTTTTATTTTTTATTTTATTTTATTTATTTTATTTTATTTATATTTAATATTTATAATAATTATATTATATTTATTCATTTTTACATTTTTATTCTCACTGGTGATTGTAAGATAGTAATAATCTGATTACTGATTTGATAAGATTAGATTAGATTAGTGACCAATTTAAAAATATTTAATTGAAATTATTATAATTAATTTTATTTATAATTATATTGACTGATTTAATTCAATTGATACTAAATTTAATTATATATAATAATATTTAATAGAATCAACAAAACGACCCAGCAAGCAAGGAAGAAAAAGTTACTAAAACAAACAAACACACTTAAGTTAGTATGACAACTACCTACCTATGGAATTCAGTCAATTAATTAATATATTCATTCATTCATTCATTCATTCAATTCTAATTTTGCAATTTACCTATTTTTTCAGTTTTATTCCTATCATATTGATTTGTCATGTATCTCATTTCATTTAATCAAAAACAAACTCATTTTTTTTTATATATGAAAAGAAATTTTCTAATTTTTCCTAGAAATCTAGAGATACTCCAAAAAAAGGTTACAAAAAGTTAAAGAAGGATGATTCTCAACGATAACAAGGCAGGCATGGAAGGCTTAGATAAGGAATCGATAAATAAAATTATTGTAGATGCTTCCAAGGGTAAAATATTATATTAATTATAATATTCATAATAAAAAAATGTAATAATATATAATTATTATCATTTTTAGGCTCCTTATACTACGAGAACGAGCAGAGAAAAGAAAGCATATTGAAAGTTAAAATTGAAAATCAGAGAAAACTGTTGGCCCAAATCACAGAGGAGCAGAAAAAAATTGGCCTAAAAATAGTTCTGGGATTTAATTTATTATTGCTTTTATTATTTTACTTATTTATTTATTTATTCTCTCCTTCATTCATTCATTCATTCATTTGACGGGCCAAATCATTTGTTTATTTATTAACTTTATTTGTAATTAACTTTATTTTATTTATATTAAACGAGACAGGCAGACGAGTTAATATCAAAGTTAGAATCAGCGAGAGGTTTGGGCAGGTCAATAGTTCACTTTGACATGGATGCTTTCTATGCTGCTGTTGAGATTCTCTCTAAACCACATCTCACCCATGTGCCCATGGCAGTTGGCAGCAATCATATGCTGGTTGGTCGATGTTGATTGGCTGGTGTTGGTTTGTTGATGTTGGTTGGTTGATGTTGATTGGCTGGATAGTTGGTTGGCTGACGTTAATCGGCTGGTTTGTTGGTTGATGCTGCTGGTTCGGTGATTTGGTTTGGTTTGGTTTTCATCCCTTCAACCATCATCATCATCATCACCACAACCATCACACACCCCTACAGTCCACATCGAACTACGCGGCCCGCAAATTTGGGGTGAGGGCTGGCATGCCCGGGTTCATTGGCAAAAAACTCTGCCCCAATCTCACCATCGTGCCCCTCAATTACCCGGAGTATGAACGCTACAGCCGTATCATGCACGGTGTCCTATCACAGTATGACTCTAAATTTTGCAGCGTAGGATTGGACGAGGCCTATATGGATATTACGGAATTAGTGAATGAGAGAATGATGAAAGTGAGAGGAGAGATGGTGATGAGGAAGAAGATGACGATGATGACGAAAGATGCTTCTGCTGCTGATGATGATGATAAATTCGATGATGATGATGATGAAGAAGAAGACAAATATGATGATAAAGATGATGATGATGGTTTGGAAACTTTTTCTATGTCTAATTTTTTAAATTTTATTCTTATTTCGTTCTCACATATACTCTGATTGATTTGAAAGTTAGTAAGAAATATTTAATTAAACAGCTTGTTACTCATCTATTTATCTATTCAATCTTTTTATAAATAAATTGAATACCGAAGAATATAAAACAAAGATTATATTTTCATCAGTAGCTGCCGATGAAAGCCAACGAATTTTCCAAAGATCCCGAATAGCAGAAGTCTTAGTTAGCGAAATCCGTCAGAAAATATTCGAGGCAACGGGTTTGACATCTAGTGCAGGTTTTTTAAGTTCTTTCTAACAAGGGTCCATTGATTTTTTAACAAATTTCGATTTTTGATTTCGATTATTCTGTTAAATACGGATTATTTTAAGAATGTCACAATCAATAGAATGTATAAATTGGGCTAATTATCATTTCACGAAACTATCTTGATAGACAAGTTGGTGCAATTGCAACAGCAGAACCAAGCAGTCTGACCATTACACCATCCAATTATTATTAATTATTATTATTTATTATTATTAATTATTATTAATTATTCAAACTAAACGTAATTTTTCTTTCCAAATAAGGCATTGCTTGTAATGCTATGCTGGCTAAAGTATGCTCCGATATGAACAAACCAAACGGCCAGTTTGTCGTGCATTCAACTAAGACAGATGTTATGAATTTCATTCGAGATTTGCCTATTAGAAAGGTGCTAAAAATTCGGGACCTTTATTGACCTGTTTTATTTAAGAAGGTGCTAAATATTAGATGTTATTATTATTATTCTTGTCCCCACCATCATTATCATCATCACTGCAGATTAGTGGTATTGGCAAAGTGACAGAACAGATGTTAAAATCGTTAGGAATTGAAAAGTGCAGCCAGCTGATCGAGAAAAGATCGATATTGCAATGTTTGTACAGCAAATGTACCTTTGGGTACCTCATTAGAGTTGGATTGGGTATTGGGTATGATCTCTGTGATAGGTTTGTGTGTGTGTGTGTCTGTGTGTGTCTGTCTTTTTTGGGTTGGTGTCTTGTTTTCTCTACCCACATATACGTTTTTACTTCGTTTCAATTTGTATTTATAGGCCTGCAGCCTAATTGTATTGTTACTTTTTGGTTTCTTTCATTAAAAATTAATTAATTACTTTACCAATTAATTAATTAATCGTACCATTTACTAATTAATTAACTGATCGTTGATATTTTAATTGTTTCTATTTTAGAGTTGACTGTGATAGAAAATCACTCAGTGTTGAAAGGTTTCCACCCATTTATTGGTTTTAATTTGTTTCAGTTAATTAATTAATTAAGCAGTTAATTAATCGACTAACTAGTCAATTAAATAAGTAATTAAGTAAGTTAAATTCTGTTTAACATTTATTCTTAGAAGAATTGTAGAGAAGTGTTTTAGTATTTTCAATAGTTAAGCAAACTGCCCCTTTTGAACTCAGTGAGGCACCTTTTTAATTTAGAAAGGTTTTTTTTCAGAAATAGAACACTCTTTGTCAATCAAATAAATTTAAAAATATTAAAACGCCTTTCAGAACCTTTGAAGATACAGATGATATTGCTGTAGCTAGCAATATCTGTAAAAATTTATGCCAAATGTTGGCTGATGACCTGAATGAGAAAAAGTTATCTGTAAGTTAGTTCGATTTTATTTATCTAAATTCATTTTTATTCTATTTCGAAATAAATTAATTTGCTTATATTTAAACGATTTTCGCCTTTTTTTAACTGCTTAATATTTCTTATCTTACATAATACATCCGCTTCAATATATCAAGTCAATTCGTCTTGAACTATGGAGTGTCTCCAATTTAAGACAATTTCGGATACTGATTCTCTCTCAAACCAGGCTAAAACGATCACTCTGAAGATAAAGACGATGAAATTTGAGGTAAAAACTCGCGCCAAAACTCTGCAGACATACACTAATCAGTTTTGCACCATCTATCTGTGCGCAATGTCGTTACTGAAGGATGAATTAGGAGTTTGTGTCAGTCAGTCATTGAAAATTAGGCTTATGGGTCCGAATGTTTTTTGAGGGTTTTTTTTTATCTTAATTTTCATTTAATTGAAAATAATTATTTGTTATAATAATTTTGTAAATCATAATTATTAATTATAGTCTTCTACTTCTTTTTTTGCACGAAGGCGTTAGAGCGTCTTCGTTCCAGAACAGTGAATCCCTCCAGAAACCAATCACCGAGATGATGGTCAAGTATAATAATAACAATAATAAAAACAATAATAACAACAACATGATGAATGAAACAAGTGACGACGCTAATGACTGTATTAACAATAAGAATAATAATGACAAGAATGATGAAAGCAGTTTTAATGATGTCAATATGGATTATCATCTAGAAGCTAATGATGACAATAATGGTGATAACAATGTCGGAAACGACGACGGTGAAGAAAATTCTAAAATAAAGTGCCCAATATGCCAGAAGATGGTGACCAAAGGTGCCGATTGGAACCTTATAAACTTGCATGTCGACGAATGCTTGACACTGAGCTACATTAAAACATCTGGGGGCCATGATAATAATAATAATAGTATTAATAATACGCTTTGCAATAACAAAAAAACTAGCCAAAACTCGTCCAAAAGTCATTTACCACCTCTTAGTATAAAGAAAAAAGAACAAAGGAAGAATAAAAAGTCCCCAAAAACGACACGTGTCGGCTGTTTAAATAACTCCGACGCTCTTGACCCCGTCCACAGAAAGGTTAAAAGGTCAAAAAAAGCTGAAGATAACGATATTAAAAGTTTTTTTAAAGTTTTATGAAGTAAAAATTAAATAAATCGCAGTGATGTGTAAATAATAAATAATATATAGACAATTATTATAATTTAGATTTGGATCTTAATTTTAAATAGTGGCTTTTTGTTTCATCATTTGATGGGCTGCAATTTTTTAAAAAATTTGTTACCTTCAAATGAAATTTTGAAAAAAACGAATTCTTAATATTTAACTTTTTTACATGTGCTACAATATTCTATTTGAAATTTTCATTCCAATATATATAAATGTGTGTGTGTGTGTGTGTGTGTACGTGTCATCAAACAACAATGCACGAGTATACCACAATATTATTTGCAACAGTCTTTTAAATTGAACAGAAATTAAAACAACGCAATTTACAATACAGCCATTCAACTGTCTATCAGGCTTGAGTTGATTGACTTATAATTACATACAGTAGAACCAAATGTTTAGTGGATGAAATGAAAGATCATATAAATGTAACAGGAACATCATACTATCATGAAAATGAAATTATTCCAACACGTCCATAATTATTTATAACAATTTCTCCCTCTATTTCTCACTCTATCTTCTCATTCTCTCTCTACAACCAAACACATACACGAATGTACGCATACAAACAAACCCACACACACACACACACGGATCCATTCATCAATCTCTGCCTAACATCCATCAGTCCCTATTATCGGGCAAACCAAAAAGTTTAATAGTCCCAGCATCTCGATCCCTTTCAAACTTATCCTTATCGTCACAAGCGAAGGCGAGAAGTAACTTCTTCGGATTCCATGCCACGGTGAAAGTAGGGCTGTCGCAGGGCACGTCTGCAACTTTTTCCCCAGTCTCCACCTCTGCTATGTCAATCACGAGGTCCTCCGATGCACTGGCCAGTAGCTGTCCGTTGTGGCTGAAGCTTAGTGTTCTAACTGGCCAATCAAGTCTTGGGGGAGGGGTTATTTATTATCAACAAAATTATCCAATATTATTACGAAAAAAAAATACTTTGCACATTCAAAATATGCATAGTAAAACAAACCAAAAAGCATTTTAAAGATTTATTTTTTTAAAATTAGAAACCACCTCGTAAAAGTCCTGACACAGACCAGTTCATCGACATCCCACAAGCTGACGAGAGCATCGGCACCCCCTACGGCGAAGTATCTACTGGTGGGGTCGAACTCTATGCAGATGCAATTGGCCGGGTGGGCTTGTATGGCGTGCAGGGATTTCAGTTCGGGGTAACTGTGCGTTAGAAAAATTCATTCTGATTTTTTATACTTTAAATTGAAATAATCGAACTTACAATATTCAAGTATTCTAAATAACTATTGAATGTAATAACAGATTGTTGCATTATGAAATTTTTATGAAAGATGATTTATCAAAAGTAAAAATAGTAAAACTGATCCACTTTGTTAGAGTGAGGCAGTATTCTTTGTAGCTCTAACAAATTTCTCTTAATCAATTTTCAAAGATATCAACAATAATAAGCACAGAGCATATAGAAAGTAAATACAGGAGAATTTATAAACCACACAAATACACACACGCAATGCAGTGCCAAGCACCTTAACCATTATACTAATGTGAATTAGTTTAAAAAACAGACCTCCAAATATGTACACTGCCCTGGCCACTTGTGATAAAAAATAAATTTCCCTGATTGTTCCACGAGATTTCATTGACTTCAAACTTGAACTGTTCCTCTAATTTGCATTTGTGACTCTTCACGTCGATGAATGTTACTAAATCTTCTTTGTTACCGACTGCTATCGTTTGGCCGTCCGGGGACCAGCATATGTTTATGTTTTCACCTAAATTTAGGGATTGAGAAGAAAATTATGTATATATACATGTATGTATTGCATATTCATGCCTACTATCATACCATATGAACAGTTACACACATTGCATGCATACATACAAATACATAGTTTGTACACATAACTGATTTAATATTAAAAAATAAAATTCATTTATTAGCTAAGGGATTAATCAAGTGAGTACTAAAATAAACATTGACAAACTGGAAAAATTTAAATATGAAACTTTTTAGGAGATAATAAATAACATAGACAAATAAATAATTAAAATATAGACCCTTGGTATTGACAGTAGCAACAGATTTTCTTCCTCTGGCATCCCACAGCCGAACTGTCTTGTCCCCAGACGCAGTGGCAAGGATGTCGGGATTGAATGGGTGCCAGCAAAGCTGATCTACACTGTCAGTGTGTCCTCTAAATGTGTGGTCTTTTGTCTGGTTAGGGAAAGAGTTTAGTTAATGTAGTTTAAGTTTAGTATACCCTTTACTGGCAATAGAGATAAATATAATACCCTCACATAATATTATTTAAATTTAAAATATAATATTATAAAATATTTGAATAATATGTGAGTGAATAGAATATAAAAAAACTACATCATCCACTGAAACAAATTTACAAAAAAATAAACAGAAAAAATAAAAAAAAATGATTACAAACCAATCTATCCCGATCCAGTGTGAATGTGACGACACTTTTGTCGAACGATCCGGACGCCAATCTCTTTCCGTCGGAATTCCAATCCACAGTGTGAACTTTCGAGGAATGGACGGCGAATTCTTTGACTTTGTTATTCGCCTGGAAGTATTTCTGCTGCTCTATGAAATATGGCGTACGCATAATGAACAGATTTGCCAAACTTTAAAAATTATTATTGTAGAAAATGTCAAAATTCTTAAATTAGTACAAATCTCTGACAATA